TAAGATGAAAGTAAATATGCACTCACATTTTGATAGTGGGTAACTGATGACTTTGGCAGAGCTTTGCCTAATGTCACACCCTCGAACCAGACGGCGGAAACGTCCGAGGGCTCGTGTGACTATCAATGGAATATCATCACAATGAATATACATGAAACATAACATAAACATCACCATACATTACATATTACAACTATTATTGTTCACATCAAGTACCTTGCTTTACAGTACATATTTCAAAACATAAATTGTACGGAGATTAACACATCAATATCAAATCCCCAAAATACTCTTGACGATTTCTTCGGCTTAACGATTACCTGAGAATACAAGTTATTTTAAAAATGGTCAACATATATAATGTTGGTGAGTTTATAAGCATGTTTGACTGTTAGATTTTGTATTGTTTGTAAAACCCAGAAAATACAATATTTTCTGTAAATTATATGATAATGATGAAATGATCAAGTACAAATGTATGTGTGATTTCCTTTGAAAAAACATGTATAAGTAAGTAATTTAAAATTTTCCTTGTATTGTGTCTTTTGTAAGTAGAAGGTAAGGAATAATAGTATTCCCTAGAAAATCCGATATTTTCTGATTTATAAATGTGTCGTGGTTCTTGTATTACCATAATATTTGTTTTCGCGTTATTATGATTTAAGCATTTTGATTTCTGTAATGTATCGATGGTAATGCATCTCTACGCGAGTCGTTATAACCATGCATAATAAAGACTAATTCGCCTGTCTTGGCGTTTTTCCAAACACCGGTTTTGATCAAGATTTTTCACCCTAGACTAGCATAGTCTAACTATAGCAAACAACTTATGTGTGGGGGAGTCACCCATGTATAGATCTATACACAAACTCTCGCTCTCCCTCCAGGAGACTCTGATTATAACTACATATTACGACCAAACACTTAATGGTGCCAACCGAAAATTCTCACTAGATCCCAATGATTGTCACATGAATATGTTTAATGTTAAACGTAGTTTGATTTACAAATACCTGATGATACTTGAATGTGAAAGACACGGCCTAAAAAACATGAATAAGGATAGTTGTGGCCCGTTAGACATGTAAGCTATTTTTAGGCTTGATGGCATACAAACGGACACGTTGAAGCCCATTAAGCATACAATGAATCTCTCCAGGAAAAATTAACATGTGAATGGGCCACTAAGGCCCAATAACATGTAAAAATTAATTTAGGCCCATTGAGCATGTCATTGGGTAACTAAGGCCCAATAGACATAGATTGAATATATTAGGCCCAATAATCATGCAAACTGATCAAGAAGGCCCAATAAGCATGTATAGGAAGTATTAGGCCTAATATTCATACCATTGCTGTAATTTTTGTATGTTTGTTGTGGTATAGTGTTTCTAGACTAAGCACTAATACGTGATATTATAAAATATCTAATGTTTGATTTTTAACAATATATTTTAGTGTGTGTGTGTGTGTATATATATATATATACACACACACACACCATTTTTAAATCCCTTATGTTATAAAAATTTATATTTTTGGTCCATTTGTTCAATAATTAACATATGTGACCCAAAATGTTTATTTGACTATTTTAGCCCTTATTTAAATAAAATGACAATTGTGTTCATTTTTGGTGAAAATAACATTTTTGGCCAATTAGACCATCAAACTTAGCATTTTGGCACATTTATAAATTTGTTTTAAAATTTTGGCCCAAAATATGTTTATTGACATTTCCAACCCTTATTTTATAAAAATTACATTTTCGGCCCATTTTCCAAAAACTTTACATTTTCGGTCCAATTTAGAAAATTTTACATTTTTGGTCTTTATTTCTATTCATTCCCTGTTTTTAGCTCATGATTTGATGATATTTCATTTTAATCCCTAAAAACTCAAAATTTTTTGCATTTTGGGCCCAAAAACCGTAAGGCCCAATTTTTAAGCCAATTATGCTAAAATTTACATGTTGGGTCCTTTAAAAAGGTGATTATCATAAAAACATAATTTTTAAGCAATATGGCTTTTTTATCCTTATAAAACCGAAATTGTCATCTATTACCCAAACTTTACTTTATTTGACAAGGTGATCCTTATACATGATTTTTGTTTTGTTTTTCACATCATAAGCTTATAATACACTTTCATCTTTGTAGTATGATGACTAGTATGCTTTAGTTCATGAATCTCACCCATTTTGGTTAAAGTTTTTGAGATTTGTAGGGTTTTACCACATATTCACAACATAAACCAAGAAAATAACACATTACATGTATAAACACATAGATCTAAGCGTATCCCCCCCCCACAAAAAAAACATGTAAAAAAACGAAAACAAGGGGGTATGAACTCACATTTGCTTTGTTGTTTCGGTTTTGAAGAAGAAATGGAGAGATTTTTGGTCCTAACAAGCTTGTTGAAGAACTTTGGAACTTAGATGGCTCTAAGATGCATGATTCACAAAATGGTATGAGTTAGGAAGAGATTTTTGAAGAAATAAATATGCTAAACCATGGATCTAAGCAAAAACTTACCAAGGATGGTGATAGTGGTGAAAAATCCTCTTGAAAGCACCCTAAATCTCGAAATTTTGATGGAAGAAGGAGGAGTTTCTAGAGAGTATTTTGAAGTGATTTGAAGTGAGAGAATGGAGGTGGGGTGGTGGGTATCTCAGCTGAAAATAAGGAGAGGGGAAGAGAAAGGGTTGCTGGTCATTGCATGATGGATTAGGGCATCTTAGTTTAGATATATATGATGCTAATGACTTAGAATACCATCATATTGTAATGAGGTGTCACTAGAAGGTAATTCCTCATTTTTCTCTTTTTTTTTATTTAATTACATGGGCCGAGAATGGGCTTGAAAGAATGGGGATGAAATGGTTTTGGGCCCATTTTAGGCTTGTTCAAATTTTCATGAAGCTCAATGGCATTTTTTGGTCTATTAGGCTCTCTTTGGTGTTCACAACCCAATTAAATAAAAAAGATGGAGTTCATGGCTCATTAAGTCCCATTAGGGTTAGAATGAATCATTCTAGGCCCAAATGGTCCAAAATGTTATAGATTTATGAAATGGGGTCCATTTAGAATCCAAATAGGGATCTAAGCCCAAGTTAGTCAATTTGAGTGCTTATTAGTCCATTATACCCAATAAGAAAATCCTAATCCATATAAAACTTGAACCTGGATTTTTAGGGTTTCAACTCCTAATTGATTTTCTGAAATGTTTTGCATATAGTTTTGAGCTTAAATTGTGGATCTTGACTGATTTCGTTGCCATAGAATGAACATTGTGCATGATATCAAGTTAGAGTTACAAATAGTATCATAGATGACATTTACATGATCACATAATTTCATGGCTAAAATGCCAGTTGTGACACCTAACACCTTAGATTTTCCTTTTGATCTGACCTCGGTACGAATATCACAAAGTGTTAGTCTTATATTCATCATGACTAATGATAGCCTAGATTCCTCACTAATACCAATGTCTACATCAAGATTTATTAAATCCAGTCTAGACAACATTTCCGTAAGTAGATCAATTAGTATAATGACTTGGAATTACTAATAAATCTTATTTATAGGTTCATAATAATGACTATGAACATGAATATAAGTTACCCTTGAAATAAAATAAGTGTAGCTTAAATTACAGGGATTTTAGCGAAAACCAGGAAATTATGTGGGCAGAATCTTAACCGGAAAGATTCTACTTGTTGGGATTTCTGATTCCCTAAAGTTTATCTAAAAATATCCTAAATACTATAACTATTTGAGATTTTGTAGGAGGGAGTTTTCAGAGAAAGATGGGAGTGAAAATGTGTGAGAAATGAAGAAAATCAAAGGACTGTTTATACTCCCCCTCCCCTCACCACATGTCACAATCGTATCCTCCCACCTCATCCTTATATAAGGAGGCCACATGTACAAATCTTAGAGAGCCACGTTTCAACTTTTTATGGTGTCGCGTCAACATGTCTCTCGAAGGAGTTAGCTACCCGACCACGCCACATGGGGCCACCAGGTGGTGCCATGTCATAAGCCTAGTGTATTTTTTGTAGATCTTTAGACGATCGTAACTTTCACATACGAGATCCATTTTCAACATTATTTATATCCCTGGAATCCTGTTGATAAGCTCTACAGCTTTCATTAAGGCCTCAATAACTAATTCTCTAACTAAAATTCATATTTAGACTGGTTTAGACTTTTAAAGTCTGTGCGAAATTCATCTCTTTCATACGAACTCCGTTCTCGACTGTCTTTATATTAAAAGACTCGTATTCATGAGATCTTCAATTCTCATTTAGATTGTTTTCAGCTAACATACAACCAATTTGAATTTCAATTTTTGTGCCTGTACTACTGCGCTGAAACTTTGAAAAATCATGACTTCCTCATGTAAAGTTAGATTCGCATGTTCTTTATATCCATGCTCTCGCTTTATGATTACTATGACTTTCATTTAGATTAGTTAGGCTAATAAGCAATCTATCTAAAATTCACTTTTTACGATATCGGATTTCATAGTTATTCATATGTACAAAATCCTTGCTACATATACTATAATTTTAGTTAAGGTTATTTATCATAAATAACCTCCAATCAAAAATTTGTTTTTATCGCTTATTTTTTTAATTGTCTAACCTGAATCTGTGGGCGCTACATTTTCCTTCCTCCCTTGTTTCTCTAACCTTGGCTTGTGTATGTAACTAACTTATTTTCATAACTTAAAGGCATGTCTGCTTTTTGGTCATAAAAACATTGCTAGTGCATGTTTCTTTACTTAAAATTAAACCATATATCCTTTAATTTGATCTTAAAACAGAAAGCGAGAACCATGGATCAAATTAAAAGAATGAAAGAGACAGTTAATGACCAACTTATGCTTTGTTGGAAACATAGATCACATAGAGAGGATGTGAAGGTAAAACAATGGCAGCACCCGAACCAATAGTAATAATAACACCTCCTTTCCCCTCAACCATTCCTTCACTCATAACTCTTGTTACCAAACTCATACCTACCACATTCACTTTCATCGCATTCATCCAAAACTTCTTCTTCAACCTCATGAACAAACCTAGCCACATGATAAGTCACCCCGGCATTATTCACCAAAAATCCTACGTCTAGTTTTTCACCAATAATCACCTTATGCATCTCCCTAACTCCAACCACCGTATTCTCGCCAGAAAAATCCATACTGGAAATCTTGATCTTGGTGGTTGGGTGCATCGATACGATCTCATCAGAAACTTCTTTAAGCTTGGATAGATTTTTGCTAACCAAGATTAGGTGAAGACCCTTTTGAGCTAGTTGGATGGCAAATTCATTGTTGATGTTGTCAGTTTCTCCGGTGATGATAGCACATGAACTGTAGTTTTTTGAGGTTCTTGGGTGGTCGGAAGAAAGTGATGAAAAACAATTTGAGGATATTGGTAATGGGTTTGAAAAGACAAGGAAAACCAAGTACACAAAATGGATTAATTATGTCTTTACACATGTTTAATTCATTTATATTCTTTTTTTTAATCTATTGTATATACATTATATTATATTATAGGGTAAACGGAGCAATTATGTATTCGCATATGTTTAGTTCATATGTGTTGCAAATTGAATAAAATTGAAAGCTTGGAGTCAAAATTAGAAAAAGATTGAAAATTTAGTGCCAAAATCGCAAAAAAATAATGTCTTTGGGACACTTTGTTTTCTTGTCTACATGTTATCATGTCACATTAGGAGTGACATCTGGAAGGCCTAAAGCAAACTGCTCAATTGGTCATAATTTCCACAAATTACAATTATAATAACTAAACTGTAACAAAAACTACGCGGTGTCAAAATAAAAAAATTATAACTTTAATGCCATTTACCCAAAACTTGAAGAGGAAATTGCAAATTTTGTCAATATGGTTTAATGATTTATTTGTTTTAATGATTTCTTTTGACATAATGCATTAACTTTCATTATGGATATTGTTATGATTTATTATTAATGTAAAATTTTTTTATCAAACTTGAAAAGACTATTAAATTTTATTTATTTATTTTATTGTTTTGTTTATTTGAAAATACAAATTAGGCCCTCACTTAACCCCCACCACCATCCTATAGTCTCTCTCTCTCTCTCTATCTCTCTCTCCAGTATTATATATATATATATATATATATATATATATATATATATATATATATATAAGAATGAGTTCTATGGAAAACAAATAACTAGGGCAACATCTACCGGAACCAATAATCAAATGACACGTGTCCGTTTCTTTTTTCCTAAGTAATGTATTGTGGAAGTTATTATGAAAGTGATGTGTTGTAATGTTTTCATTGGTTCAAATATGTGTTGCCCTAATCATTTATTTTCCATATAACTCTTCCCTATATATATATATATATATATATATATATATATATATATATATATATATATATATATATATATACAGAGAGAGAGAGAGAGAGAGAGAGCGAGCTAGGTTCAAATGTTTTTCACATTTATTGTGTACTAGAATATACCAATAAAAATTTAGTAAAAATAAATTATTATTTAATTAAAAAAAGATATATATATATATATATATATATATATATATATATATATATATATATATATAAAATGATATCCATAATTATAATTTTTATGGAAACTATTAAATTTGTCATTAATATCAATAATAATATTTTTTCAGAATGAATTCGTATCTAGTTTTTCATGTATGGGTTCGTATTTTGTTTCATGACTCCCTCACTCAAAATACAGCAATATAGGTGAGAACATGGAGGACGAGAGTGTATTCTAGTAGAATGAAAGTCTATTCTAGAAGAATGATAGTATAGTTAAACAGGATGAGAGTGTATTCTAGTAGAATACACTATATTTCGTCATATTTCATGCAAATATGTTGTATTTTAACTGAGTGTGTCAATAAATAAAACACGAACCTATACTTGAAAACTTAGATGTGAATTCATTCTGAAAGAATGTTATTACTGACATTAATGACAAATTTAAATAGTTTACATAAAAAAGAGAGTTATAATTATCAATACCATTTAATATAAACACAATTATAGAAATCATTTAATATCTATATTTATTTAATTAAATAATTATTTAATTTTACTAAATTTCTATTGGTGTATTGTAGCACACAATAAATGTAAGAAACACATGAACAAAGTCCTATATATATATATATATATATTGTGTAAATGTGTAACTCAATTTCAGCCAATCATTAACTACTTAATTTTTTTAATATTTAATAAATTAGTAAGAGTAATTTTGGTACAGAATAATTCTCTTCCTAAATATTAGGCTACTTAATTATATATATATATATATATATATATATATATCAGTTATCTTCATCTCTCTCACGTCTCTCATGTATATACATCTGACTCTCTTGAACCCTAGCACCCTGCTCCCGAGCTGTAGCAAAGAAAAGAAGAGAAGAGAAAAGAATGTAAGGAGAGAAAAGAAGAGAAAAGAAAGGAAAAGAAATTTCTCTTTTGTGCTCCCGAGTTGGAGAGAAATGAAAGGAAAATTAAACATTTTGTTCTTTCTATCCAAATCCTCCCAAATTGGAAGGAAAGTTAGGAGAGAAAGTGATCCTTCCATTTCCTTCCACTTCCTTCCTTTAATGAAATTTGGGAGTACCAATCTCTCTTACTTTCCTCTCATTTCCTTCCATTTCCTTCTTAAGTCGAACTCGTAGCTGTCCAAATTCCTCTATACCAATTCCCCATCCCCTCCCCGTTTTTCTAGCATCGATCTCATAAACCGGAGATGATGGCACTGCCGATGACCACCACAATCTTGATTCTTCCCATTTTCGTGAAAGGTTTGTAAATATCTGAGTTTTGATTATTCTCATTCTTATTTGCTTGTCATGCTTCCTTTGAATGTGTTACTGAATTTGATTCTTCCCTTGGCCATTGATTTTTTATTCTTTTGATTTCTGCTTCTCCATCGTGTGTGATTTCCATTGTCGGACCACCATCAACACAACCGGATACCTCCATCTTGATTTACATTGTTGATGTTGCTCAGGTGCACTATTGGTTTTTAAGATGGAAATAACAGAAAAAAAAGATACATAAACCATGTTCATTGTTTACACTTTGATCTTTATTTCTTATATTTTGGCCTTAACTCCTTTCATGTAGTGAGTTCTCATCATTTATAAATCTATCGAAACATATTGGTACCTTTAGCCTATATTTTATTTGCATCCATCAAATGATATTCCTCAAAGTTTCTAATATTGCATTGATTAGTACATATGATTTTGTGATAGAAAAATATATATATTTTTTTAATAATGATTCATTATTGTTGGTGGAATCGTCAAAGTATTATAGAGTGGAGTATTATGCCCATATTCATTATGGAATCATTTACATTGAAGTTTTTTTAGGTAAATTAAAATTATAGATTTTATAAACAGCTTCATTCATCTTAATTCTAGTCGTACTTCATTATTGCGTATAAATATATTTGTTTTTGATAGGGCCTTTGGTTGGGTTGATTTGAAGAGAAAGAGAACAAGAGAAAATATTTAAAAAATGACTACATTCTTTCAAGAATGAAAAATATTTTTCAAGAAAGAATGATATTTTTAAAAAAAATGAAGCATGTTATTGCATATTGCATATTCTTTCAATAATGAAATGTTTCTTTGATGAAGATTGTAATTCTTTTTTGGAATGGTTATACTTCATCAGAGTTTTTATTGAATTTGATGTAAATATTATATCCCAACATATTATTTCAACAATGAAGTATGTTTTGTTGGATTAGTGTCTAAGCTCATAACTATATTTGATATGTACTTGACCCGGTTGTGCATGGTCCTTTTGGGTTGCCTTCACCAAAGCAACTTGACAAGGTAATTTAAGGAGAGGGAGAGAGAGAGAGAGAGAGAGAGAGGGAGAGAGAGAATATTATGGTTTATTAATATATTATAAGAATAATATATCAAAGGAGAAATCATATTTATTTAATTAGTATTGGTCATAAATTAATTAGGAATTAATTTGGTGACTAAAAGAGATTAATTAAATAAAGGGGCATACACTGTCAAATATATGATAGTTGAGTTTTGGGCTAGGAAACCTAATGGACTAAAGGGGAAACGAAATTATGATGGTGATCCATCATATTTTCCTCCAAGGCCTTATTCTAGAAGTTTCCTTGGGCTGCTTGGTGGCTATGATGTCCATTAGGGTTTAGATTGAAACCCTAACAACCTACAATATAAAAATGACCCATAGGCTATGAAAATCGGCTACACTTGATTCCAAGAGAACCTTAGGGCCAATTTTAGCATCTCTCACCCTCTCTCATATTGACTTCTTGCTTTTGGGGTTTGTGAACCATTAGAGGAGTTACAATTGTGACTCTAAGCTCAAGATCATGAAGACTACATGGATTTCAAGCTATTTGAAAGAGGTAAACACTTATATCTGTTCATATGATGTTGATTTCGAATTTTATATGATAGATCTAGGGTTGCAAGTCTTGGATTCAAAGCATGTAGAATAGAGAAACCTAAATCCAAACATTTGGGTTTGTATGACTACATAAGATTGTTCTTATGCATAAAACCCATCAGTGGTATCAGAGCCTTGATTGGTTTCTGATGTATGTGATGCTTTAACTGTTTGATTGCTGAAAATTGTTTTTTATGCCAACTGTTTGCTGAACTCGACGAGTTCCATGATGAACTCGACGAGTACGAATGTGGACTCGATGAGTTTAGCTGTCAGACAGAGGATATTTCGGAATTTTGTTGCTGTTTTGTCATGGGATTAATGCCTAAATCGTTTTTTGAAAATAAAATCCGAATTTTATTGCAATTGAATGATTATCCCTGCCAAAAAAATAGATAATTTCAAATCTTTTGATAATAGCTGTTTATATGATAAATATGGATTATTTATATTAGTTGGTAATTATCTTGTAACTAAAATTGGATTAAGTCAAATATAGATAATTATGAAATTAATTGTTTAATTTAAATTATTTGTAATTTGATCCCTTTTGTTTTGAAAAAGTTCAAAACTTGTCGTCAAGTTTTGAAATTTAAATTTTATGATTAAAAGTTTAATTATAAGTAATTTAAATTTCAAACCCTTAGAGTTTTACAAGATTAAAATTCAACCCTATATTATTATATTATTACAAGATTTATATATATATATATATATATATATATATATATATATATATATATATATATATATATATATATGTACGTATAAGATTAAAGCTAGTCATATCGCTAGTAGGCCTCATTGACGAAGTCGATCTATAAGGTGGGTATAAGGTTGCTGCCTATAAAATGGCGCTTAATAGGTGTACATTCACACCCACCGCTTGCTTGATTGGTGTAGGGTCGTTAGTCGAACGGATATGATAGGGCACTTAATATCTCATTACAAGTATAATAAATATTTCAAGGTAACTAACATAGTTTTACAAATTCCCAATCTTAGTTACTTTAGGGCAAAATGTGAAAATGATGCTATTCCACGAGATTACACTTTGTACCATTGTCAAACGTTAATGGAGCGTGCGTGGTTAACCGCCACACTAATTTGGGATTGACATTGGTGGAAAAGGGTGGCTCAATGTTTATCATAGATCAATCCAGCGTGCGTGGCTAACCGATACATTGATTAGATGATAGAGACATTGAGTGCACCATGTTGAATCGCATGGCTATTCACAACTTGTTTGCGATCCTCGACATCCTAGTCGCAAATTTGAAGTGCATATCGAGATTTATACATGCCATTGAAAAGTTCAATGAATCTAAAAGATCTAGGAGTTTTCAAATACACTTAAAACTTAAATCTCTTTTTCGTTTTTCATGGTGAGAATTAGTGACTCGTCATTCACTTAGCTTCAAATTATTTACTTTTAGAGTACGACATCCCTTTCTAAGTTGTAAATAATGTTGTTGGGTCCTAGCCCTAATTTCTCATTTGGGACTCATTTCTAATCAAAATTTGTTCCTTTTCTTTTTCAGATGTCTACTAACAACAACAACAATGCTTATGGGTCATTCTCGTTGATGAACCAATGTCAAAAGGTGACATTTGATGGGTCAAACTTCAACGAGTGGATGAGGTACATTCTCATGAATACTCGCTACAAGGAAAAAGAATATGTCCTCGATGAAAAGCTTGAGAAGATCATCCCAAACGTTGCTACTATTGAAGAGTTGGCCGCCTTTGAGGCCCACGAGCGTGATGCTACGAAAGTTCATTGCATCATGCTAGCCACCATGAACCTCGAACTCCAAAAGTCCTATGAGCACATGTATCCGTATGAAATGCATTAGGAATTGTTGGACAGGTACCACCAAAGTGCGAGGCAAGAGCGCTATCAGATCATTACTAACATGATCATCGCTAAGATGGGGAGTGGAGAATCGCTAACCTCTCATTTACAGAAAATGCAAAGGTATGTTGATCGTCTTCTCAAACTTAATGTTAAGTTTGATGAGGATTTGGCTATCGACATAATCCTCCATTCCTTTCCTTCATGCTACAACCAGTTCAGAATGACCCACCACATGAATAAGGAAGTGGTCTCCTTGAGCAAGTTCCAAGGATTGCTGAGGACTGCTGAGAGCAACCTCAAAGACAAATCTGTTGTACCATCCCCTACTGTGGCTGCTCCCGTACTGGCAATTGGTCAAGGAAAGGGAAAGAAGAGGAAGGCTCCATGTAAGGGCCACCATAAGGGTAATACCCAAGATGGTTCCTCTTCTAGTGGAACCAAAGTTCGTTCGGTCAAACCCTCTTCCGACCTCAAAGAAGCAGAGTGCTATTAATGCCACCAGAAGGGCCACTGGAAACGAAGCTGCCCTAAATATCTGCAAGACATGAAGGATGGGAAGATTAAGCCCATCTTCGCAGGTAGGTATTCTATTAAATCTAATAACTCATCATTTGCTACTTCATGGGTTCTTGATACAGGGTGTGGTTACCACATTTGTTCTGATTTGTAGGGCCTTAGAAGAAGTAGGGAGATAGAACATGGGAAGATAAACTTGATCATGGGAAACAGAAGATCGTCGCCTGTGACCAGAGTCGGAGTTTATTCTTTAGTGTTGAGTAATGGGTTAGGGTTAGATTTAGAAAATTGTTGTTATTCGCCAAATATGGCAAGAAACATTATTTCATTTTATGGATTGTTTAGAAAAGTTTTTAGATATTCTTTTGATAATAGTAATGGTCCTATTAATGTTTATTTGAATGGTGCCTTTTATTTCAATGCATTACCTTGTAATGGGATTTATGAATCTGTGATGGTTGTTGATAATTTAGGAAATGATGTATTGAATATTGATTCGTCTACTAGCCTAGACAAAGCATGCTTGTGGCATTGTCGCCTTGGCCATGTCAATAAGAAACGCATAACCCAACTCTAAAAGGATGGAGTGTTGGAGTCATTCGACCTTAGGGACGATGACACGTGTGAATCTTGTTTGCTTGGGAAGATGACCAATTCACCCTTTACTGGCACTTGTGAAAGGGGTGAGGGTCTATTGGATCTCATACATACCGGTGTGTGTGGCCCCTTTAGATCCACCACAAGAGATGCTTACCGCTTTACGTGAATTTTACGGATGATTATAGAAGATATGGATATATCTACTTATTCAAGAAAAAGTCAGAAACATTTGAAAAGTTCAAAGAGTTTAAGAATGAAGTGGAGAATCAGTTGGGTGGGAAAATCAAGATGTTTCGGTCAGACCAGGAGGAGAGTACCTAAGTCTTGAGTTTCACGACTATCTAAAAGAATACATAATTGTTTCGTAATTGACGCCTCCGAGAACGCCACAATTGAATGGTGTGGTTG